CTGCGCCGTGTCCCCTAGACCCCACACCCCAAACCCTAAACCCTAAACCCTGAACCCTAAACCCCGGGAAGCCGCCCCAAACCCCAAACCCTAAACCCTAAACCCTAAACCCTAGCGCACGTCTGCGAAGGTGAAGTACTTGAAGTCCGTGAGTTCCACAACAGTCCCTTCGGCGTTTTTGATTTGTTTTCTTTCTCCCACATAAAGCTCAGGGCCATATATGCGCGCTGCTTCCTTTAGCAGCAAATAACTGGAAAAAAAAAATAAAATTAATTTAATCAATTAATTTAATTTAATTTAATTTAATTTAAGTAATTAAAATAAATTGACTAAATTGATTAAACTAATTAAATTGGATAAACTAAAAGAATTAAAAAAAGTTTAAAGAGTTGGAGTTAAAAGGAATCAAAAGAAATTAAAAGAAATTAAAAAGAAGTTAAAAGAATGAAAAATTAAAGGAGGCAAATAAGAAAAGCTTTAAACAGCAATGGAATAAAAGGAGACAAAAAGGAAATAAAAAAGAAATTAAAAAGAAATTAAAAAGAATTAGAAAGAATACCAAAAAGGAGATTAAAAAAGAGACAAGAAGGAGACAAAAAGGAGACAAATGAGATTCTACTAGAGACTAAAAGAAGCAGCTTCTGAAGAGGGCTACGGGAAAGGCTAAACCCTAAGTTCCAAACCCTAAACCCTAAACCCTAAACCCCAGAACTGGGCAAACTGCAGCCCTTTCAAACCCGCAGCAGAGGACTCTTCCAAATGCACTGCGGGCTCGCTGTCTAGAAGCCAGGGCGTAGAACTCCGGATTAGGGTTTAGGGTTTAGGGTTTAGGGTTTACGGGGATTTGATGTTTGGAAACTGCGGGATAGCGGCTACCCCCAAGCAAGTCTCTGTGGGGTTTGCGGGGTCGGAGACAGCTCTGTAGACAGCAGAGCTGTCTGCAGCAACAGGAGACACCCGGAGACACAAGGAGACAGCTGCAACTGCAGCAGCAGCAGCAACAGCAGCAGCAGCAGCGGCAGCAGCAGGACACCCGAAACACCCCCAGCCGCGTGCACAGCCGGCGCCGCTGCTGCTGCAGCCCTTGCTGCAGCAGCAGCGGCAGCCCTCGCTGCTGCAGCAGCAGCAGCAAAGGCGGCGGCGCGCAGCGCCGCGGGAGCAGACCCCACAGCAGCTGCTGGGCTGGGGTGTACGTACACCTGACCTGGTGTCTCCGTGCCGCGCAGCGGCAACGCGTAAACTCCTTTCCATTTGGAGATCTTCAAAAGATTTTTAATTTTTTCTTTTTCCTTTTCATCTGTGGAGTCCGTCAGCAGCACCGCGCACTCCTCACACAAGTCCCCCATCGTCCCGCACCGCAGCAGCGCCTGCAGCAGCAGCAGCAGCAGCAGCAGCAGCAGCGGTGGTAGCTGCGGCTCGGGCTACGAGGAGTAGGCGCTGCTGCTGCTGCTCCAGCAGAGACGGGGGCTGCAGAAGCTGCTAAGGAGCACCAGCTAGCCATATGTTGCATAAAAGCAGCAGCAGCAGCAGCTGCTGCTGCTGCTGCTGCTGCAGGCCTACAGCACAGCAGCTGCTAATGAGCTGCTGCTGCTTCAGCTGCTGCAGCAGTAGGGCGCTGAACCTCCCTTGGCCCGAAGGGCCCCAACGACGCAGCGTTGGCTGCAGCAGCTGCTGCTGCTGCTGCTGGCTGCAGCTGCTGCTGCTGCTGCTGCAGCCAGCTGCGTTATTGCTGCTGCTGCATGCGCCAACTCTGAGACTTCCCAAGCACTTTTGCTTTTGCATTAACAAAAGAAAAAAGAAGAAAAGAAAAAAAGAAATGCAGAAGCTGGAGCAGTCGCGGGCGGCTGGGCTGGGGCTCTGGAGTGTACGTACACCTCAAGCGCTGCTGGAAACCGCAGACCCAGACCCTAAACCCTAAACCCTAAACCCTAAGCCCTCAGTTAAACCTACCGAATTGGAGTCACAGGGCAACAGTGTATGCAGGTTAGAAACCGCCGTAAGGAATGAGACACGCAGCGCGCGCCGAGGGTTTAGGGTTTAGGGTTTAGGGTTTAGCGCTTAGGCCCTGAAGCGACGAAAATGAAGTCAATCTGCTCCGGAGTCAGCATTAAGAATATCCTTAAAGGGCCACAAGGCACGCAGCGAGTAAGCAGCAGCAGCAGCAGCTGCTGCTGCTGCTGCTGCAGCTGCTGCTGCTGCCGCTCCCGTTATACTGTGCTGCAGCAGTGGCAGCGCCTGTGCTGCGCCCCACTGCTAACAGCCGTTCCGTTTAGGCATTTCCTTGTCCTTTACTTTTATTTGCAAATGGAGTTAAATGGGAAAAGTTCAATCAGGGGATAACATTAAGTGTGGAGGGAGAAGCAGGAAGCAACAAGCAGCAGCAGCAGCAGCAGCAGCAGCAGTGCTGCTGCCGCTGCTGCTGCTGCAGCATTGCATGATTCTCGCGAGTTGTTTCCTTTACTTTTATATAAACACGAAAAAGAATTCTATTTTAATTTAGTTGTTCTCTTTTGTTTTCAAGTCAGAGGCAACAGGCGCGAGATCTCTGCAGACGCCTCAGCCGCGCTGCAGTCGTTCGCCGACGCCCAGCCTCACAGAAGCTGGACTTTGACATTTTTTAGTTTAATTTATTAATTTTTTTTAATTCTTTTAAATCTACATATTTTTCTTTACCTTCTGAACTCTAAAAAGGGGGGAAAAGAGGAGCCTGGGGGCCTAGTTCACCAGCACCTGCAATTGTTGAATTGAAAATGTAGCTGAAATGTACCAGTTTCCAGCTTGCTGCGGCTGCTGCAGCTGAAACTGCTGCTGCAACTACTCCTGCTGCTGCTGCAGCTGCTGCAGCTGCCTCCGCAGCTTCTGCTGCTGCGGCATTCAGCAGCGAGACATCTCCGGCTAAGACCCCGCCAGCAGCAAGTGTGCATTTAGTTCAAATCAGCTGATAACAATGATAATTAAAAGCAAATTAAATTAAATTAAATTAATTGGGTGCAAAATAAAGCCTATTGACTTATTAATTCATCTCGGAAATTGTCGAATTAATAAGCCATTTTCTGAAGTCGAAAGTGCAACTTCTGCAAACGACAGCAGCTCCTCAGGTGTACGTACACTGCTGTGGTGTACGTACACCTGAAAGCCCTGCTGCTGAGGATACACTTTCTTCTTCCATTTAAAATCATTTTAGTTAAGGCTAGTGTCCCCTGCTAGCCTCGAAGCTCTTTCAAGAAAGCCTAACAAAGGCAGTCGTTTCCTACCCAGGTAGCCAGCTAGCTAGCCAGCTAGCTAGACAGCTAGATACGGCCAGCTATCTGACCAGCTAGCTAGCCAGCTAGGCAGCCAACTAGCTAGCTAGCTAGCTAGCTGGACAACCGGCTAGCCAGCTAGCTAGCTGGCAAGCTGGCTGGTGGCACCTCTTGGCACTTGGGGCTTGTTCAGTTGGAGTCCCCTTTGAGGCTTTGAATGAATTAAATGTTTTTAATTCATCTTTAATGATTTAATTATCTCTTCTGAGTTTGCCCAGCTAGCCATTTTCCCTCCAACAAACAAAACACCAAAAAACTCCCTCTGCCTTCGAAGACAAACACGAGCCGCTGCCGTGCCGTTTGCCCGCATGCATAGCCCAGGGGCTAGCTGTGGCTAGCTGCGGTTGGCTGTGGCTAGCTGTGGCTAGCTGTGGCTATCTGTGTCCAGCTGAGCCGAAAAAAATTTCAGTAAAGTTCCTGCGCCTCTGTGCATGCAGAGCTGAGTTCAGCGCAGTGTCTTTGCAGCTCTTCAGGTATCTGTACACCTGAAAGAGATCCCCGCTGAAGCGCCAAGCAAAGCGGACATAAACTTCCAAGCCCTAAACCCTAAACCCTAATTCAGTGCTTTGCGGTAAATGAGGCTGGCTAGAGACTTCAAACCAGGGAGACTGCCCGCGAATACTTCTGTAAAGCGCCTCGGGTAATTAAAGAAGCCCTAAAACCTAAACCCTAAACCCTAAACCCTAAACACTAAGCCCCAAACCCCTGACTCCCCCCGCGCCGCACAAACCAACACCAACGTAAACCCTAAACCCTCACGTTTCAGCGCATTTGGCCCAGAACCAGTGCGCAGACACTCACACTTTACGTAATTCATTGTTAGGCTTGGCGTTCACGGCCTAGGGTTTAGGGTTTAGGGTTTGGGATTTAGGGTTTAGGGTTTACGTTTCAGGGTTCAGCTCCCAGCGTTAAGCGATCAGGGCTTGGGGTCCCTGTGGCACGTGATGTCCCACAACGGCGGCGTTGGCTCTGAGGGGTTTTCTTCGGCTTTGTTTGCCAGTAAAGCTGTATAAGTTTAATTTAATTAATTAAACTAAATTAAGTTTAATTTAATTAATCAATTTAAAACAATTTTGCGGCTGTGAGGCAGCGGCCTGAAGAATTGGTTGCCCACGCGCGCGAACACAGCAGCCCTGGCAGTGTCTTGCTGCTGGCAGGGGCTGAAGCAGCAGCAGCACCAGCGGCTGCCGCTGCTGCTTTTAATTAATTATTTGTCTAGTTTTATTTGTTTTATATTTGTTTCTAATCTTTTGGTTGCTGCCAACTCGCCGACTGCATGCACACAGGCACTGCTGCGCCACGCGCGACCGCTGCTGCAGGCGCCATTCGACACCCCACCAAACCCTAGCCGCTGAACCCTAAACCCTAAACCCTAAACCCTAAACCCTCGTTCCTGAATTTTCAGCTTTAACGGCGTAAAGTGGGCTGCACCGTGGAGCTGCAGCGGCGCTCAGCTGCGGCGAGTCAACAAAGAGAAAGCTCGTTGCCCCTGCTGCTGCTGCTGCCGCTACTGCTGCTGCTGCTCCTGCCGGGCTCAGGAGGCAAAGGTCTCCTTCAATGTATGCAGCAGCAGAAGGGAGGCAGCAGGTGCTGCTGCGGGGGCGGCAGCAGCAGCTGCTGCCCGCAGCCTGGTGTTCCCGCGCTCTGCCGCTGCTGCTTCTGCTGCTGCAGCCGCAGCTGCTTCCCCAAACAGCCGCAATGAGTGCCGATGCAGCAGCACAGCCGGAGAAGGTGGCAGCAGCTGCTGCTGCTGTTGCTGCTGCTGTGGGGCCCCGGACGGACTCCGAGATGTCTAGCCAGCAATCTGCTCCCGTTATCGGAGGTGAGTTGTTGCTGCTGCTGCTGCTATCACTGCTGCTACTGCAATTGCCGCTGCTCCTGCTGCTGCAGCAGCAGTATCTGCTCTTGTTTGTGCTGCTTCCGCTCTGGCCGTTGCTTCTGCCGCTGCCGCGCTCGCTGCTGCCCCTGCTGCTGCTGCAGCAGCGGCAGCAGCAGCTGCTGCTGCTGCGGGCTGCGAAGGGTTTAGGGTTTGCGGGTTTGGGGCTGCATGCAGTTTTCATTCAACCTGTGGACGAGAACCTTCCGGAAGAAATAAGTGGAGTGTCTCGACAGCAGGCGGTGTTGGAAGGCATTTCTTACCTCGCAGCTTCTTACATTAAATACATTGAAGCTGCAGGATGTGTTGTGAGTTTTGAACTCAAGTTTTGAATTCCGAGGCTCCTCGCCGCAGCGCCCCGAGGGTTTAGGGTTTAGGGTTTAGGGTTTGCGTTCTTCAGGCGCTTCCCATCGACTTGAACCTCTCTGAAGATGAACACAAGTTCATCTTCAGCCAAATCGATGGGCTGCTGCTTCCTGGGGGCTCAGCAGAAATAAACGACTGGAATGCTCCTTACATGAAGGCAACTAAACTATACTACGAATTGGCCAAAGAGGTACCTCGAACCCTAGTTTCTGAACCCTCAGCCACCCCCTGGGCCGCTGGGCCGAGGTTTAGGGTTTAGGGTTTGGGGTTTCTGGAGCTGGGCGTGTCCGCCTATTAGTCTGTTTTTGCTCCATTTGTCCTTCTGTGTTGCAGTCAAATGAAGCGGGGAAGTTCTTTCCCATCGTGGGGATCTGCCTGGGGTTTGAGGCGCTGGTGATTGTCGCGAGCGGAAACTTGAATTATTTCAAAAGAGAATTTACCGAAGACTTGGATCGCCGGCGGGCGCTTTCTTTCACGGAGGAAACGGAAAGCTCGGTGTTGTTTGGCTGGGGCGTGTTCCCGGGGGACGGGAAGAAAAACGAGCCAAGTCCAAGAAAGGATCTGGGTGGAAAAAGGCGGAAAAACGCAGAAATTCAAGTTCCAGCTCCAGCTGAGGACTTGAAAAGTGAAACAAATTCAAAAAATGAGGCGGAGGCGGAAAACAACGAGAAAAATTCAGAAACTCAAGTTCCAGATCGTGTTGCCGACGCAGCAGATCTTGCAACTTTGCGCAGCACTTTCGCAGTCGATCGCATCCGCCAGCTGCTCGGAATGCAGCCCATTGCCTATTTCCACCACTTCAAGCTTTTGTCTACCGACGAGTTTCACAATGATGAAAAACTGAAAAAGGAATGGAGACTAACCGCCACCGCAAAAATCCCGGAGGAAAACAAATTAGAAATAGTCGCCGCAGTGGAACACAGACAGTGAGTCAGCGGTCCCAGGTGTACGTACACCTGAGAGTGCTCGCAGTGCAACTTCACTGTTTTTGTCTGCAGAGTCAGTTTCCGTCATGTTACCTAGGGAAACTCGCCGCCCTTCTTGCTTTTTTGAAATAAATATCGCAAATGATTGTAACTATTGTTGCTTTGGCGTTGTTTCCACTTTTTGTCCAGGTTTCCCTTCTTCGGGATGCAGTTTCATCCCGAGAAAGCGCTATTTGAACACTGCGACCAGTCGCAAATTCCTCACTCTTTCGCGTCGGTTCTTCCTTCCTGGTACATCGCCGCGCTCATAGGTTTGCTGGCTCGCCGATCTCATAATGCATTTAAAGACAAAAGGTTGAAATTCGACAGTGTCGCCTTCGCCTTCAAGCCTACGCGGACTGCCACCTACGGCCGCTTCTACTCTTTCGAGCAAGTTTACCTTTTCCCGCAAGAGCTGCGGCAGCAAATGAGAAAGAAAATGTTCGCAGGCAGACCCTCGAGTGCCACGCAGCTCCAGCAGCAGCAGCAGAAGCAGCTGCAGCTGGCCGTTGCTGCAGATGAGGCTTAGCTGAGGCCCCTGCAGTACTTGCCCCGCAGCTGCACTTGTCTTCTCGTCAAAAGACCACTTCAAGTTATTTGTGAACTTGCATTTCTGGCGCTGCTGCTGAGGCAGCAAGTTGCAAAGTTCTGTACAAGTGAACGGAACAAGGAATACGCAGATGAGCTGTTGCAGCTTCCGCGTCCCGGTGTATGTACGGCCCTGCGGTGTACATACAGCGGAGCGTGCAGCAAACGAAGTAATGCATGCATGTGAAAAGCACTTTCTTTGCGAGATCTGCTGCTGAAGTTTCTGAAAAGGCAGCCAGCAGCAGAAACACCAGTGCTTCTTCTTTCCGCAGAAGCAGTCCTACGAATAGGCCTGGCGGAAGTTGTGAAAAAACAATTTTATTTGTTTTTGCATGCGCAAGTGCATGCATGCAAGCTCGCCTGCATGCGCAAGTGCATGCACTTCCTCGGGGCTGCCAAAAACTTCTTTTGCTTCCTTACTACAGCAGCAGCGCGCGCCCGCGGGCGCCAGCACAGCAGCAAAAAATTAAAAGCTGAAGTGAGCCTGGGAAGGCAGCAGCAGCCGCTGCTGCTGCTGCTGCCGCCTTTGCAGCGGCTGCCGCTGCTGCTGCTTCTACAGCAGCTGCTGCTGCTGCTGCTCCTACAGCAGCTGCTGCTGCTTCAGCAGCAGCTGCTGCTGCTGCTGCAGCAGGAAAGCGGCGCTTTTCTTTGGAACGCACTGTCAGAACTCAAGCCAAACACTTAAAGGCATCTGTTGGCCTTTTCCAATTTCGAATTCTCTTAAGGAGGGGGGGAGGGCCCCGGGGGGGGTGCAAAGGGGAGGGTTTGGTAAGAGGGGGAGAGTTGCTGCTGCTGCTGCTGCTGTTCCTCGTAAGGATGCTCGAGCTGCTGCTGCTGCTTCAGCTGCGGGTGGTCCTCTATGTGCTGCTGCTGCAGCACCTGCTGGTGGTGCTGCAGCTGCTGCATCTGCTGCTGCTGCTGCAGCTGCTGTTGCTGCTGCAGCTGCTGCTGCTGCTGCACTAACTGCTGCTGCAGCCCCACAGGCCAGGCAGGCGCAGCAGAAGCAGCAGCAGCTTGAGCAGCAAAGGGGGAGTAACCGGGTAGGGCGTGGAGCGCGCTCCTAGCTATGCTCAGTAGAGGATGCTGCTGCTGCTGCTGCGGCGGCTGCTGCTGATGCTGCTGCTGCTGATGCTGAAGGTTGTACATTTCAGCTTGCTGCTGCAACGCCTGCAGCACGGCCCGACCCTGTTCAGACACCGGAAATGATATGCCGACGCCTTGCTGCAGCGCAGCCCTAGCGCTTGCTGCTTGCAGGTGCAGCAGCAACTGCTGCTGCTGCTGCTGCTGCTGCTGCTGGAGGTGCTGCTGTGGCACAGGTTGGCTGAAGTGGGGTCTTTTCACCAAAGGAGAAGGCGGCTGCGGGGTTTGCTGCTGCTCAGCTTGTAGCCTCTGTTGCTGCTGTTGCTGCTGCTGCTGTTGCAGCTGCTGCTGGCCAGCTAGCTGCGCGCACTCTTGAGCCAGGGCAGCAGCAGCAAGAGCAATGCTTCTGAGCTTCTCCCCCACCACTCCGTTAGCTGCTGCGCTGCTGCCTCCGTCGCTCGCCAAAAGCTTCTGCTGCTGCTGCTCCAGCTCGTAGCGGGCCTGTCGAACTGCTGCTGCTGCTTCCTCCTCGACTTGGTCTGCGACTTTGGCCTGGCGCAGCAGCTGCAGCAGCAGCTGCTGCATCTTGTGCTGCACCCTTTCGCTGGGCCTTCTCTCCGTCGAGCCCTCTGCGTCCTCCTCAGGCCCCTGCTGCTGCAGCAAACGGTGCAGCAGCTCGCTGCAGCAGCCATACAACTGCTCCCTGCTTTCTTGTGCTGCTGCTCTTGCATTTTTCCCGCGGCGTTCTGCTGCAGCAACGCGGTGTCTCCACACCGCAAGGGGGTCGCCGCCAGAGTCCCTTCGTGCTGCAGCAAAGGCCCGCTGCTGCGACACTGGATAGTGCTGCTGCTGCTGCTGCTGCTGCTGCTGCTGGAGGTCGGGCAGCGCAGCAGCAGATTCTGGCGCTGCTGCTGCGCCCCAGGCAGGCGACTCAGCAGCTCCCCGCGGCTTTGTCTTCAAGTGCCTGCCTCTGGCCGATCTCTTCTGCTGCTGCTGCTGCAGCTGCTGCAGCACCTCCTCAATTTCTTCATCGCTCATGAGCTCGTTGTGGTGGGTGGGCCTCCCGCGTCGCCTCTGCCCCCCGCGCTTCCCCCCCTGCTGCTGCTGCTGCTGCTGCTGCTGCTGCTGCTGGTGGCTGTGGTGCTGGTGCAGCTGGTACTCCAGCAGAATTTCAATGTCTTGTGGGGAGGCCGAAGTCCACTTGGGGGGCTCCTGGGGAGGCAGCAAACTGTCGGGATCGAACGATCCCAGCTCCCGCTTGGCCCTGTGCAGGGCCCGCAAGAAGTCCAGGTGCAGCTCGTTGTAAGATTTGAAAGCCTCTTGTCTCTTTTCCAGCACAAAAGCCACGCTGCGGCTCTCGCTGCTGCTGCTGCTGCTGCTGCTGCTGTTGTTGTTGTTGCTCGGCACAATCCGCACCAGGCGCAGAAAACGCGCCGGAGAACGAGTGCTGAACGTCGCGGAGTGCAGCGCCTGCACGCGCAGCAGCAGCAGCAGCAGCAAATCAGCAGCAGCAGCAGCAGTGTGGCAGCAGCAGCAGCGCAGCAGCAACAAGCATCTCAGCAGCAGCGAGTGGTGCAGCAGCGACAGAGAGTGCAGCAGCAGCAAACAGCGCAGCGGCAGCAAACAGAACAGCCCCAGCAAGCAGTGGAGCAGCAGCAAACTGTGAAGCAGCGGCGAACAGTGCAGCAGCAGCAAACAGTGCAGCAGCAGCAACTCCCTTGCTGTTCCTTCAATAGCAGCAAAACACCAAAAAGTGCCCCAGAGGATTAGCGAGTGTAGCAGCAGCGCCGAAATGCGGCGGGCAGCAACGGCACATCCCCACAACAGCAGCAGCAGCAGCAACAACAGCAGCAGCAGCAGCAGCAACAGCAGCAACAGCAGCAGCAGCAGCAGCATGAGCTTGCCTTGAAGAGCACCAGCAAATGTATATCCATTTTTTCCCTTGGCTCCAGAAACACCAAGAAGCCGCCTTCGCTTCCAAAGGCATTGGGAGGCTCGGCAGCAGGAGAAGGGGATTTGCCGTCTTTGTCTGCTGCTGCTGCTGCTGCTGCAGCGGGCGGTGATGTCTCAGGCTCTTCATCCTCGGTGTGCTGCTGGCCGCCCTCAAAACCAGCTAACTCCGGCCTCGCCTCTCCCTGCTGCTGCTGCTGCTGCTGCTGCTCCGCCAGGAGTGCGCAGTCGGTTTCTGTGGACGGCCCCTTGGCGCTGCCTGCTGCAGCAGCCTCCTCATGGGAAGCAGCAGCAGCAGCAGCAGCAGCAGGGGCGGGAGATCGGTGCTGCAGCAGCAGCGCCAGCCCGTCGAACCAGTGGACCAGTCCCCTCGGCAGCCGCAAATCGTCTCTCCAGTTTAGAGACCCCGTGAGCGGCAGCAAGCAGCAAAAGCTGTCCAGAGTGCTCTTCAGCAGCACGTACTTCGCGCACCCCACGAAGCCGCTGCTGCTGCTGCTGCTGCTGCTGCTGCTTGCTGCTACGGCTCCTGCTGCTTCTGCTCCCGCCGCTGCTTCTGCTGCTGCGGGGGTGGACAAGGCCCCCAGGGGGAAAGGCGCTGCTGCTGAAGATCCTGAAAAACCAAGATCCTGCCGCTGCTCCAGCTGCTGCTGCTGCTGCTGCTGCTGCAGTTCAGCTACAAGAGGGCTGGGGTGCGAATAAGCGAAGACAGGGTCAGCCAGGAACCTCAAGTTGTTTTCCTTGCTGCTGCTGCTGCTGCCAGTCCCACTCTCAGCGGGGGAAACAGCATCCTGTTCCTGCTGCTCCTGCTGCTCCTGCTGCTGCTGCTGCTGCTGCTGCTTGAAATAAACAGTCCCCTGCTGCACCTTAAGGAACTCCAGCCTGCCACTATCATGCAAGTAGCGCAGTGCTGCAGCAGCAGGATCGCCGCCAGTCCCATAGATGGCCCTGACAGCACACGTGACAGCAGGAGCAGGAGCAGCAGCAGCAGCGGCAGCAGCAGGAGCTGCTGTCCAGGGACGCGCTGCTGGCGGCTGTGGAGGAGGCGCTGCTGCTGCAGATCCTGCTGCTGCCGCAGCTGCTGCTGCTAGAGACTCGTAGGGCAGCTCTCCGTTTGCTTCCTGCTGCAGCTGTGCCTCCGTCGCTCGCGCTGCTGCGGCGGAGTCGCCTTCCTGTGCTGCTGCTGCTGCGCTTGCTGCGTCTGATGCTGCTGCTGCGTCTGCTGCTGCAACAGCTAGAGGCCAAGGGCTATTCTCTGCCCCCCCAAGGGCAGAGAGAGCTGCTTCGCTGCAGCACTCCAGCAGCAGGAACCTTCCGCTGTCCGTTGCGGCGACGCAGCAGAAGCAGCTGCCGCACCTGCTGCTGCTGCAGCAGCAGCTCGGAGGAGCCGCAGAGCTGCACTTAAACCGGGCCTCCAAGCAGGCAACAAAGAGGTGAGGCACCAGGGGCCTGCTGCCGTGGCCAACTTCGATGCAGGTTTGCTGCTGCTGCAGCACGAAGCCGGGGAGGGCTCGCAGCAGCAGCAAACCTGCTGCAGCAGGAGAAAAAGAATTAAAAGAGACAAGGCGGTCCTGGTGGGACTGGTAAAAGCGCTTCCACTTCTCTGCATGCGTTTCAGCCGTCACAGGAACCAGGCCCTTCCCGCTGCTGCTGCTGCCGGGGGTCCCGCGCTGCTGCTGCTGCTGCTGTTGCTGCTGCTGCTGCTGTATTGCTGCTTCCGAATATAGCTCAAATTCTAAGGACGGGTCTGTCCCGCCCGCGTGAAGGAGACTGTAGTTCCGCACCCGCCGGCACCTGCGCTGGGATCGACTCCGCGAAGTCTCCTCCGGCGCAGGAGTTGCTGCTGCTGCTGCTGCTGCTGCATCTGCTGCGCCCCCGTCCCCCTCGCCCTTGTCGCTGCTGGTGTTGCTGACGCTCCTGCTTCTGCGGCGGCCTCGCTTTGCTGCTGTTGCTGCTGCACCTGCTGCTGCTGCTGCTGCTCCAGGTGTCTGTACAGCCTCCAGGGAAGCTCTGAAGTTCCCGCGCCTCTTTCCCCGGGTGTCTCCAAGTGCAGCAGAGCTGCTGGAGTCTTGTATTGGAGTTCCGTGAGTGCTGCTGTTTCTGCTGCGGTAACTGCTGCTGGGGGGAGCAGCAGCTGCTGCTGCTGCTGTCTCCTTCTCGTTGTCGCTGCTGCTCGGAGTGGCCGAGTCCGTGTCGTCACTGGGGCCCCCCATTGCTGCTGCTGGCTGCTGCAGCAGGGGGCCCCCGCTGCGGCTGAGGGCCCCCCGGCCCCACGGTCTCGGCGCCGACTTTGCTGCTGCTGCTAGCTTGCGGGCGGGGGGGCCCGCTGCTGCTGCTGCTGCTCCTCCCCCTCCATCTGATGCAGCAGCAACATCAGAGGCAGAATTAGCTGCTGCACTGTCCGCCATTATCGCTTGTTTTGCGGCTCTTGGCCTGGTGTACAGTTTTGCCCCTGGGGGCCCCCCGGGGCCCCCAGCAACGAGAGCGCAGCAGCTGGCTGAGGGGCCCCAGGTGATTCTTTTTGCTGCGAAATATACAAAATTTGCATTGACTTATTTCTCCTGGTGTGTATAGACACTGCAGCGGCCGTCGATGCTGCGATGGGCCCGGGAGTGCTGCTGCTGCTGCTGGTGCTGCGTTAGGTGCTGCTGGCTGTGTCTGCGCATGGTTCCTTTGCACTTGTTCGTCTTTAGGCTTTTCTGAGGAGTAATAAGTCAAAATAATCGGGAAAAATCCAAAATTAATCCCCACGCGGCCTCTGGGGCGGCGGCACGCGCACAAACCTGCAGCAAGAGGTGTACTGCTTCAGGGCGTTGTGTGCAGTGCTCGAAAACGGCTCCAAATCATTTCCGCTGCTGCACACAAAGCCATATCCGCCAGCCCTTAAAAAAGAAATTTAATCAAGACAGAACTGGATCCAACTTGCCTCCTTTTAGCCTTCTCTAGTCGCCTAAGGCGCAGGGGGCCAGCAGCAACTGTGTTGCATGCACCACCACCGCCTCCTTGTGCGCCCAAGACGTTTTGGCTGCCACTTTTCAGCGGATTACACCTGCGCAAATGCAAATGACTGTCCTCGAGCTTCACTCAAGGACAAACTCATAGCAGGGGCCTCAGCCTGCTCCTCTCCAAATGCATAATGACTGGATTTGGGGTTAAAACCGCTCAATGCTGCTCCTCTTATTTTCCTTTTGCAGACAGAATGCCTCGTCTATAGCCTCTAAAGAAGCAGGGGAGAAGGTGCCGCCAAACACGGAGTTGGTGCACCTCTTGCGATGTCCAGACACCGCAGCAAGTACTACCCAATTCACAAAAAGCTCATTAAAACTTCATTCAGTCGTAAACGAGATGGAGTCTTTGCAGCTGCCTGCATAAGTGCTAAACGACTTGCGAAAAGGTAAAAGAGTGAAGGCCTTATTATCTCTAAAAAGGCTTTAAATAGGTAGAACTGCTGCAGGGCCGGATGCCCTAGCGGCGCAGGGCCAGCTGCGACGAACTGCCACTACAGTAATTCAAGCAAAGCCTAGTCCTGGCATTGCCTTGAAATTATTTTTGCTCCTGGGTGATCTAGGCTAGGGGATGTAGCAGCTGCAGCGGGCAATGTACAGGAACTGTACCCATTCTGAACAGTTGACACATATGAGACGAGGGAGCTATTGCTGTGCTGTCAGCACTGCAGTCTTTTCTAGTTTCTCTCTGCGGCCTTATGCCCTAACTAGCTTCCATCTGAGATATTCGGAAAGGATGCAGTAAGTCCCCATGTCTTGAAGATTCAGGATGAGTGCTTTTGGAAAAGTAGTTCGGGCTTCGCTTCGCAGTGGCTACTACAGAACAGCTTGCAAGCGATGGTGGCCTGCTAAATAACGCAGAGGCACAGTATCTTCGCCGCCCCTCAGAGGATCATATACTGTAGTTTCCAAAATTGTTTAACAACTTTTCGCGATTAGCGAGGCGCGGAAATGCCTCCACCAAGCTCGCAGTCCTCGCCTAAGGGGGAAACGCCTTTAGAGTCAAGTGTGTCTATTCCGTTACAAGAAGTGCTATTTCACTAAATGACATCTTCCAGTCATGGGCTAGCCAAGAACGACCCATACACGAGCTACGAACTAATTTTGAAGTGTAAGAAGGGCTGCCACTGGTCACTGGGCGGGCTCCCCGTGCCTGTCTCGCGGGTATGACACCAGCGGAGGCGAGCTCGCACCTTTTCACACTTACATGCCCACAGTTACCTTTTTTCAGGTATTATCTGCTTTCTAGATAGCTTTGCGCATTCTGTACCACTCTAGTAGCTAATGAAGGGCGTTAGCACGGCCTCGTGCACTTGCCGGTCAAATGCCAAACACGATAAAGTTTATATTTATAGGTATTATTTTTCCTTAGTTTTCCTTCAATTCAATCTGTAAGGTGGACAGATTCACGCTACGTGTTTCTATACTATGAAGCCAAATTCAACATTAAGTGGAAAACAATTACCTCCGTAGCAAACTCTCCTCGAGCTCTATGTATATGCATGGAACTCATGCCAATAGACAAGCAATTACGTATGTCCGTAAAATAGTTCTCTACTTCTAAATATCAACATTCATTTAGATCTGAAATTATATCACGTGGAGCAATTTATTCTCAGCCTAATTGTACAACACTAATGATGTGCTTGTGATGTTCCTCATGTGTAAATTTAGGTCAACTGCTGGCTATTGTATGGCTGAGCATACAAGCTGCAACACTGGCATTGTTTGTGCGTTTATGCAAGTCGAAAGTAAAACAGTGCTGCACATTCATGCGCTATGGGTGAGCTCTAGCACCGCACGCACGGTAACACAGGGGGTGATGCATTTTCCATGACAAAAATTGTGGGTCAGTTTTCGGGCATCGTCTGGCTCTGAAGTATCAACTCTCCTAGACGTATTTTACCTCAGTTAAGTGGTTTGCTTCTAGTGGAAGAGGATGATAACAAGATGACAAACACTTCTTCATCACCGCTTCGCTGTGCCTTTTGCCTGCCATGTGTTTTGTAGCCCAAATGTATTCACAAATGTTATACCCCGTTACGACTGTACAAATGCGTCGCCTGCAAGGGCCAGCTGCATGGCTCAGTGTGAGGCGGAATCGTGGAAAGGGGGGCTGTCCCGATTGTCTCGGGGGAAAAATTCTACCCGTCCACACGAGGGCTTGTTCGGATGCCAAAAGGAGCTCCCCTCCCAGGTGTGAAAACTGGGACGAAGTGTATTTGCGTAAGAGTGAAAGTGATCAGGTGACTGCAGCATAAAAGTGGTAATCCTGGCAGCGTATCTAATCCTTCGCAGCTGGCACACAATGACGAGTCAAGAATACGGTGGCCCTCGCAAAACACGTGGAAAAAGGATATCAAATCAGAGGCCTGGAGCAAAACTTTCCTTCTCACGTTGAAAGCTCGGATGTGTGATGACGACAGTGAAACTAGCCGGGGCGATTCTACGGGCCACTCAAAAGAAAGCCGTAACTATGGGGCGGCTGTTGAAGTCATGGGCAAGATGGGAACGAGGCTCCGTCAAGTGCAGACAAAAACTCGGGTATCAATTATAGTTTTGGGGATTATAGGTATATAGGTATATTGTTGGCTGGTCTGATTGTGTATAAAAAACCAAACCCAATGCTCAGAGGGAATTGAAGACTCCAGGATGGTGCACAGCACTACAGTGTAGTCCAGAAATTGCCTTCACGGCCATATAATTCAGAATACGTAGATAGATATAACAAGCAGAATAAATTAGAAGGAAAGGCGGCTTAATATCCTCTCGATTAGTTCCAGTGTTCTCCACAGGTGAGCCCAAGGTTTGGAGATGGCAAGTAGAACTGAACTCGCAGTGCGGAGCGCGCTCATGCAGCGGGGGTTAAGGAATTAAATGGTACAGATGCATTCCTTCACATTTGGCCCCACAGTAATTTTGTTTGCATCGTTTTAGCGCTTAAGTGGTGTCCCTAGTGTGTAGTGATAAGCATGAGCCGATGTACAAGAAATGGGGGACATGTTGGAGCAATGCTGAGCGTAACTGACCATAACTAGGTTTGACAACAGTCATCGATTAACTCCCACGTACGTACTGAAGGTCTACTAGCACCTAAGTCTTATCAATTAGATTTCACAGCATCATTAACTGTCTAGAGCAGAACTCCCGTGAGTTATGCAGTGCTTTTCATAAAGCTCTAAACTGCGACTTCAGATGTATTGTTGCGTCCACTCAGTGGATTGGCGTTATGATTGCTATTGCTGCACACAGAAGTGCATCATCATCTGTGTTTAGTCAGACACATTCATCTCCTGCAGCATTTACGCTCATTCGCTTTAATATACGAAGCGCACTCAATGCGAATTTCTCCCAAGCGTCCACCGTTCCCATGCAGCAGTCAGCGTAGCCGAAAGTTCAAGGGCCGTCGAACGTAATGGCCCTTTCCGCCACACTTATAACATGTCTACGGTGCTGGGGTACTCGCCCCGGGACTCCGTACTCTACAATCACAGCATGCCATTGTCGTTTTTTCGCGTTGTTGCGCCCGTCATAGTATTTCGCGCTGCACAGCCATGAGGCTATCCCGACAGCTCAAGTTCCTGAAAATAATAACTTCATCCTTATGCCAACCAAACTTCACAGTCTCTGTTAGTTGCGGCTCTGCGGTAGTGCGCTGGTGGCTTTTTCTTGTAATAAAACTTCACTAATCCTTCCCACGCAATTGCCGCAGAAATTGAGGGACATTAGAATTCCAAGTATTCGCTACAGAGAAAAAGCTGAGCCGTGCTCCACTATAGCGACAAACTTGGCATCATGTTTGTCTTGATTACCTTTAATGATTCTTGGACAGCTCTTAAAGCATCCTTGTCCTGGATGTGGGGAATAATCTACCCAGTATATGTGTCTTCCCCAACTCCAAGTACCGTTTACGTCTATTTTCCCTCAGGTGTATCCAATGAGGTAAGATCTGAACTGTTAGCAGTTCTCTCAGCTCAAACCCTTATTTGCTCTTGCCCAATGCCATGTTGGCACAACGGATTTCTCCCAGTTTTAGGAAGCTTCTCGTTAAGTCGCCTTTCAGCGATTACTGAGGTTGTGCGTAGGCTTTCTCCGGTTACTGTAGCTTCAGAATCCCACGCAATTGCTCTCCATCAGCTGTCAGATGGGGGATGAGCTGTATTGTATCGATGGCTATGTCATGGTCCGTCGGCACTCGTGTAGGTACAGCATCATTACACCTACCCCGCCACTTGCAATTTTATATGTTCGGGCCAAGCAGGCACGCTTTTTGCTGCCTAACTGTGTGCACCTGCAGTTTTATATGTTCGGGCCAATCAGGCACGTTTTCTGCTGCCTAGCTGTGTGTGCCTACGACTTATCAGTTGTATGAAAGCATGACCTGCACAGGCGGTATCGGAGGCCTACTGAGATTTCTGAGTACTTTAATGCCGCTGCAAATGAAGAAAGTCCGAGACATACTTTATTAGTTGTAGCGCTCAACGAATCCTAGCAATGCATTGCTACAGAGCCCAGTGCCGACTGTGCTGAGTTGTAATCCCCTTTTCGTACCTGCAAAGGTGAACCCTGTTGCTGTGCCTGACTGGTTTAGAAGCGTCATGACATTGTCTTTCTTTATATATATATGCAGTAGTGTATTGGCTACTTTGTTGAAACACTTGACATTTCTACCTTGCTCAGTACTACTATCACACACTGCATTTTGTTCCTAATCGAGACACCAAAGGCATGTGTTTTAATTCTGGGTACAGTGTGATTTATACTAATGCTGTGTTGTGTAGCGCGATGAAGCTGTAAAAGCTAGTGCACCAATGTTTATTACTGTCATAGAATACTTATTGCTTCGAAAGATTCAGTCAGATTGCTGTGTATTCAAGGCAATGGGTGCGGACCTGAGAGGCCTGAGCTACTCCTTCCATAATTTTCCAAAAATGTAGCATTCACACATGCCTACTCATCAAACACGTTCACTGAGATTTTACACCATGATATTTCAGGACCTCCGTCAGCAACATACAGCGTGATTCGTAGCGCTAGACTCAGACACGGTCATTTCGATTTGTTTATTCTTTCGTCATACTTCTACAATGAATGTTCAGGCCATCATTAGATCAGGCCCCCGAATCCCCGTAGTCGCCATTTACCGTAACAGTGGGAGCTGTGCATTAAGCATCTGAGAGCGGCCTACAGAGCAGGCATGGTTTTAAGTTAATACACTAATTATCTGTACGACGAATCGCTTTTCCTCAGGCCACTACTATGCAAATGCCTTCTGTTGCTCCTGCTTCCGACGTTCTTCCTTCTGCACTTGACCATTCTTTTTTGCTTGGCTCTTTAGAGCAGCTGAAGAATTGTCTGCCGTTGTTGGCAGAACCTGTTGGCTCAGCTGCAGTATCAGAGCAAGCAAGTGGAGAGCCCACTGCAGAAACTCCTATTCCCTGAAAATAGAAGCACGGAACCGCAAGACTACAAGGCGAGACTCTACAGTCGTCTATTCCACCCGGCGTGTTTTGAACTACTGATGGCACAAAGGGCAGCAGAACTTCCTAGCAGACGGAAGGCTAATGGGGAGCACCAAGAATTAAAGGTTGTCGCTGCAGCATTAGCATTTAGTTTGAGCTCTGGAACGGTGCGTGCCGTAGCCCGGTCCCTTATTCGATAAGTACTGAGAGCATTGCATATTTGCACGCTAGAGCATTGGCAAAAGCCTAATAGAGATCTCAGTTCACACTCTTTTGTAAAAGTGTAACTTCTCCAGACATGTACGTCTTTCGCAGCTTCAACTTTCCCAGAATCAACGGACCTAAACATGTGGTGAGTGCACAAAGGTAAATATACGCAGATGTGCCCAGTTAGGCCAACTAGCGCTTTAGTAATAAAATTGAATCATAGATTAATTTGTCGCCATTGGAGCGCCAATTCGAATTCTAATGTCTTGCCGACAAGGCATGTTGCTGTAGTGGTCTTACAAATGGTTCATTTTAGCTGTATGAACAGCAGTCCCGCAACTCCCGAAAGGTATGCATGGGAGGCAAATACATCAAATAATAGAGATGAGCAGCAATGTTTCACCCAGGCTGGTGGCGGGTGAGAAATAACGACGGAAGATTGACTACCAAAGCAGTTTTGTCAATGCCAACCATGAACTGCCGTTGGGCGACAAGGCTGCGGCCGCATGTCACACCGCAGAGCCCCTTGAAAAAACAGGCTAGGGCCCTTCAAAAAGTATCAAACAAACTTGCGAAGATTGTTCTCCTTGTCACTTAGTGTGGGGGCTCATTTTTGACGTATTGACTACAAGTACCAAACAGAAGGCGCCCTAGCCTGCGTCCGTCCACACGTCCTCGTGTCTTAATGGCAGTTTGGAATACACTACTTCTTTTTATTGCAGTTGATTGATAAGGACAGTATTTTTATGTCGTGTTCAGAGCCATCTGTTCTTCTCCGCCATTGCGTTGCCTGTGACCCGTGGTGCTCAAGTCACTCTGCGGCTCAAGATCTCCTACTCTTTTTTCCTCCTCACATTGTCCTATCTTCTATGGGCCAGCTTAACCTTTCTGTTCTCTCATAGAAAGGGGGGCAGGCAGCTCTGTGCGATCCGGAATATAGCAGCGCCATGGCGACTAGCTTTCGCTACAGTAACATGTGGCACAGCGGATGATTCCCTCAGGAGCATTTCGTAAATTATCGGAAGATAGGCAGATTTGTTGCTAGGCCTGCCACGCCGAATCTCTGGAGGCCGACACCAGCGACTGAGTACACTTTGAGCCCTTCACAGTGGAATAATTGAGGGGGAAGGGGACAGAGAAGTATTGAAACCACTGGCCAGGTATTAAAGCCGCCGGCCAGCTTTCGTTGCCTTTTCTGCTGATGCTCCACAAACATTTTGGAGGGCCAGGAGTTCAAGGTGAATCGGGAGCACTAGCCAACACCTAATGGTGCAGCCCACGCCACCAGGTTTTCACTGCTTTGATGACACCGTGACTGGCGGGTATTCACCAAGAAACTCATCGCCAGGCGGCAGAGAGTCGCAACTACCAACTGCAAATACGCATGCGGAGAAGGGACAAACAGTAGAGTCAGCGGAGGCAGGATCACAAGCGTCAAGATCATCACCATGGTCAGCAGCAGCAAAGCCACATATACAAATGGCAAAGCATCCAGTAAAGGCAGAAAAAGACGAACTTATGTCAGGAGCGAGGGATACAACAACTTCACGGGCAGGAGTAGCGTCGGAGTCAGGAGAAACAGGATCGGCAAAGAACCTAGTGAGTGATACAGGCATCCATTCGTTGTCATGTTTGCCTGGCACTTGCGAAATCTTTCGGGCGCATACTTCGCATTTGCCTTTTAATGGGGAACCCCCCTGGCTGCCTGTAGACCCAGACAAACGTGTGCATCTGAGGCTGCTTTGGGGCTTTTACACTTCTTCTCTCCCTATCAGCTACAGTGCAATGCAGGATGCTCTCAGTCAGGGAGATTTATCTGCACTGAGGGCGGAGGCAGCTCTACTGTCGATCATCTCGAGAGCGCTGGGGTTCACCTGTCTTTCACTCTCTGCTAAGAGAGTGGCAGAGATCTGTGACATGAGAGATACCGGCAGCTTCAATCCTGCGTGGGGACCTCGCCATCCGGTGGGCGCGGAAGAATGCTGCGAAATTCACAGCCACCCTGCGCAACCGACGCAGCAGTTGCTGCAGCGGCAACAGCCGCAGCAACAGGAGCACTTGAATGCACCGCAACGACGAGAATTCAGCGCCAGCGGCAACACCAGCAGCAATTCACTGCCTAGAGAACTGGAACCCTTTCATGAGGGCTCTTCCTTCCGTTTTCAAAGAACTTTTGGCCTTATTGGGGCTGTGCACGGCAATGGAAAGGAAAGAAACGCAGGGGCACAAACAGAAGCTGAAACTGTAGTAGGGGAGCCAGCTCCCGATAAACTACGAGCAACAGGGCCAGAAGGTACGAAGATTTTCCTCCATGGAAGCAACAAGCAAGGGCTTCCCAGTCGTGGCTCTGCTGCTTCACAGCTGCCGTGCCAGCGCCTTCAGGGCCGGCACATGCAACAGAAGCACGCAGAACATCAGCGGCACCAACAAAAGGAACGAAAGCTGTTGGAGAAGCACGACGCGGGGTATCACAGACAAGCTCACAAGCAGCAACAAGGGCCCCTCACTGGAAAGCAAGAGCTTAGTGGACGGCAGCAACACCAGCAGATTCGTTATCCTCGTAATCAAAAACCATCTACACAGCAGAAGCAGCCGCAGCACCACCGTAATAATATGCATCTTGCTGGGATGGGCAACTGTAAAGACAGCCTTTGTAAAGCTATTGCTCTCTGTTTCCTGGAGGTTCATGTGGCAAAGTCTAGACTGGATCCCCTTTTCCAGGAAGACATGCGAGTCAGCGAAGCTACTTCCTCTTATGATGAAGCAGCTCTGAGATCACCTTCCAGTCCGACAGCACAAGATAATGACTTAAAAGTGCCATGGAGTCTCCCGCGACATCTTTTAACGGTAGAATCAAGGCCACGAACAGTATTAGCAGCAGCAGCAAGTCGAATTGATGCGAAGGCAGCGGTGAATACACTGCCGCGTTCCCCAATAACAGTAGTACAAACAGCGTCGAAGATAGCTTTGAAGTTCGTTCGTGCTTGGAGTGGAGCCACTGCATATACTGCTGCTTCCTTTGCCACTTGCGGCACGGCTATCACTACACCGATGTGGCGGCCATTTTCACCTTCTTCGAGCGTTCGGGGCTGGCTAGTTCGGACCCGCTTACTTCTTTTTTCTGAACTCAGTGGGGCAAGTGTCTCTCCACTTGTGGCAAATTTTGAAGCAAAAACTGCTGCAGCAGCACAGGGAAGCTGCAAAGGCGCCCTCCAGAGAGCCATCGTACTGCTGAATCAACGGTATGGGAGCCCCAAAATATCATATGGCCCCCTCAAGGGAAACTCCTGGCTCAGCAACTTTCTCCTCCATGGTGAGCCGAAGCTGATAAAGCATGTGCTGCACGGAGTGCTGGGAAAAGCGAAGGGAGCAGCTAGGCGTAAAGGGGCTTCTTTGCTCAGCCTTGTAAAGAGACTGCTGGTGCCTGTCGGTGCAACGCTGCAGACAGTGCACAAACTTTTGGAAATTGCTATTCTTTGGAAGGCATCAGGATTTGGAGGAATCCAGCTGCCTGGCTTCTCGGTTCTATGGCCGGGCACAAGTCCTGAATTTAACAGGAACTGCACTGACAACCGCTGCAGCCAAGTCGATGAGTGGGGCGGGAATTCAAGAACCTGCAACCTTAGCTCCTGGGTAAACAGTGAAGGGTTGAGGCAGAAGAATGCATCGTCAACATGGCACTGGTCTTCCTTGGGAAATATCCCAGATATGTGCTCATATCACAACCTCGTAAACTCTCATTTGTCTGATTTGTCGCTGCCCTTCGCACAATTGAAGCAGCAACAACAGCAGCATGTTGCTGACCTGCAACTACCGCATCAAAAGATGCAAGTAGGGCAGTTTTGTGGCTTTGTCGGCGGGCTCACTCCGAGCTCGTCCACTGTTGTGTCCTTCCATACACCTGTTGCATCCCCAGAAGTCTTGACGGACTCGAGGACAAGCAGAAGCGTAGAGGAGAAAGATGGCAGTTATACAGCGGTCACGAGTGGCCTACGGAGAAACATTCCGTTCGGAAGGAATTCACAAACTAGCGCAGCAAAGAAAGTAGCAGTGGCTGGCGCTGCTGCTGCTGCTGCCACCGCTTCATGGGGCGCCGCTGCTTCATCGCCCCGACTGATGACTTGCTGCCAGCCTCAGCGTCACGTCTCATTTCAGAAGAGTTAGGGAACTTAGTGAGCTGCATCTTTGTAGAGACCAATCTGGAGTCTTCTTGGTCTCGCCGGAGTACTGCCAGAACAGAAGGCAGGAGAAGCTCCATGAGATCACCTTTCCCTGGAATCGCTGAGTGTAGCTGTATGCATCCAACCCCAGAAGATTATTGAAGCTTCTAATGCGGATTGCACTTGGAAAAGTTGACGGAATATGTGTGTTGCAGGGGTTGTAGCAGCTTAAAGTTGCAGGGGAAGTGTCAGCACCTGCTTACGGCTCTACGCGGCGGAAGGAGTAATGTGAAGAAGCCCAAGTCCCTGTTAACCTCTGCACAGTGGCCACTGGACTTTTCGTTTACATTTCCGCTGCACAGTCATTTTCTTAGAGTTGCTTTTGACGCAGCCTTCCAAGGTTCTCATGGCCGCCCATCCCAGTTGTTGCCCTAGTGTCACTCATTTCAAAATTTCCGTAGAGTTTGGGCGGTTTATGGGTTAAAAGTTATAATGCGCCTTTTCTCTGCCTATGCGCAAGCTGCAAATGCTAAAGTGTTTTGTTGAAATAACAATGGAAGGAGTCCCAAACTAAATTCAGGTGAGGCCACAGCTACTGCAGTTTCAAGCCCACCGTAAACATGAACACAGGAGCATTTGTTCTTGTTGTTTCTAGCCCAGATATGATTGGAGCACGGTGAATGGTTGCACGATATTTCTAAACTCTCCCTGGCAAGGACACAACGCTGCTAAAGGCCGATATTGTTGACACAATTTCTGGTGTTCTGGAGGTAAGTGGCAGAGGAAAGCTGCCCTTGGAAGAGTTCTGTATTATTTAAACCTTCGCTGCGTTTTCTGTATCGAAATCGAATGCGGGTCGGTTGAACTGATCATCAAGCATTCTGAATTGCCGCAGCTGCGCTCCGCCGTCTGTGGGCAATGCGGTCAAGTGTTATCGCATATCCCGTAGGGGTTGTAAGCGACAGCTTGGAACAGCCATGTTTTTGAGGCCAGTGTGCACCAAAGCTAGTTTGAATTGGTGCTTGTGATGCTTCAAGCATATTCCGCTTGGTGGTCGCAGCCTGGAGCCAGCAGTGCAGCTGCAAGGCCATTCACCTCCGGAGGCTGTGGGTAGGCTCTCACTTGCCCATGAGCAAAACACGGTAAATATTGATACGGGGAGGAGCAGTCAACTTTCTGCTTAAGAAGGCCTCTTTGTGCTGAACAACTAGGAGAAGCTTCCTTAAGCAGCGCCTACGGCAATGTGCGGTAGTTCATAGAGTGCGTTTCACATCTAGATCTGGTCGTAGACGAAGTTGATACATTGTTGACAAGAGGGGAGCTCATTAGATTCAGAAGAATAATCTGTATCTTTTCGCCGAGTGTAAGTTGTGAGCACCCAAACGCGGCCGTCCAAGAGACGTGACGTCACTCCAGCCCCTCTACCAGGGTCACTTCCCGTACTCGGCTCGTCAGTGGTCACGTGGCCCTTCCACGCTTTCCATCAAACTCATGGCAGAAGAAAACTACGAATATTTCAATTAGTGCATTCTTTTCGCTCAGCCGTGAAGATGCTGCGCAGAGGCTCGGGGGGACTCCTATCGCTGGGTTCTTGGCAAGCCCCACGCTTTTACGTTTATGAGGCAGGAGAATTGGCTGGAGCTCCTAAAGCTTTGTTGTACATCAAAGAGTCAGCATGGGGCCCCTCTGCAACCCAGGTAGGTCCGGCACCCGTCTTCTTGGGGAAGTACCTTGAGCTTCAGGCGACCCAAGCCAACAAATTTCCGCTGCGAGGACGCAAGACAATCGAACTTGGGTCGGGTTAGTTAGACGCCAGTTCCCTGTTAGTCTTTTGCACCAGACGAGCTTGTGACACTGGATACAAATACTCAAGCAGTGTAGACTCTCCCAGGGGGAGTTGCACGGCGATTCACAGCGGCGGAAGCCTTAACGACGGACAAAGTATCTCATGAGCCTTCAGGCTGTGGGCTCGTATCCATGGTGGCGGCCTTGCTAGGGGCTAAAGCGCATGCATGCGACGAAGGCGGTCCCACCTTGACTCTCCTTCAACACAACATTTCCACTTTCAACTCAGAGTTCACAAAGTGCCACCCGGTACGCCGCACTAAGCAGTGGGCACATCGTGACGGTTACAGCAGCTGTTGGTAGCAGTAGCTAACGATCCTGTGCCGTATATAGCTGGAATGTCTGCTGAAGCACGTGAGCACTCGTCAGTGTCGCACCCGATGGCTCCCCTATTGCTGCTGCAGATTCGCACTTTTAGCTTCTCTGCTCTTGAGAACACAAAGGAGACTTTTGACCTGATATTTGTAACCGACCTCCTGAACAACCCCAGCTCGCGTATCCGGACGCTAAAGTCTCTTTTAACTCTTCTCAACAGACAAACGGTTAGCTCCAGGGCAAACAAAACATGAGCAGAAGCACTGAGCGTGTTGCACGCATGCCCACGATGGCTACTTCATAATAAAACGCCACGACTTTTTCGTCTGTCTATTACCTTCTAATTGGGCCTATCCCCCACACCGATCTGCGCTCAAGTCACCAGAGGTAAAATGTTGCCCTTGTCTCCTGGAAAATCAGGAATGCATCGTTGTTCACTCTTGGCGTAGCCCTGAAGCAGAGAAAACCTTCTTTGAGGAGCTTGGAAAATGTTTGCTAATCAGCCGTCTTGACAGCCAAGAAAATATCCAAAAGAGATGCTCGCAGGGGCTCAACTGCTCTATCGCAGACAGCGCCAGGGACATTTCAGAGGCTACTGACCAGGTTAAACCCACTACAAGATGATCACAAGACCGTGGCAATTAATTCTGCGCGCTCATGTCGCAGCAGTACATTTTAGGTGCTAATTGGCATACCTTCCAACAGATCGAGAGTGCGCACTTGCACCGTGTGAGAGAAAGCGACAGACGAACAGACTGGTGTAGCTCGGCCTCCTGCTTCTTCACAGGATGGGTCAATTGATATTTTCTCCGTGAAGCCTCACAAAGACGTCACCGAGGATGTTTGGAGGTCTGATATGAAAGCGTTACTTAAACTATTGGTGCAAGAAGCCACGCAAAGAGGTAAGAAGGTGGAAAGAATGGTAAAGAAGAATGAAGCGGATTCTGGCAAGTTGTGCTCGTACATCTATAACTTCTTGAATAACTCTCTCCGGCCTTTCGTTTAGTAAGCACTACGCATGAGAGCTTTGCCAATGGCTCTCATTTAGGTTTCCAAGAGTTTAGTCTTCCCCTGGGAAAGGAGAGGGCTGCGGCAGCAGCACCAGCGACAGCCGTAGAAGACGTCGCAGAGCTCTCTTCAGAGCAGAAAAACGCAGAGAGAAGTATTGCATCCTTCAGCAGCTGCAGCACTCTTTCTAGTTTCCAGGATGCTGCCCACCAACATACACACAGCGCATGTTCGTCCGGCATTCCCGCCTCGGCTGAGAAAGGAACTACTGTTATACTTGGTCGTAAAGAGACAAGCGAGCGCCCCAGCTCACATCTGACTAGAAGCTTGGGCTCTGCAACAGCAGCAGCCACTCCAATTCAAAATGCAACGCCACGGCAACCTGCACCCAAACGTAACACACCGCAACCAATAGTGCAACATCAGCAAGCGCCCTTCAAAAAATCCGAGGCAGCAGTAACTGCATCGAAGGTATCAGCAAATGCTGCAAAAGCAGCAGCAGCAGCCATCAGTACACTGGAGCCTGGTTCTCCAGCGGCAGGGCTGAGGACGAAGCTGAACACAGAAGCAGTTGAAGCACGGACTCACGCTCAGCAGCATCTAGCTCCGATATATCCCAACGCTAAGAAATCCGCCACAAAGGATTGTAGAAGTCCTTCGTCGCCAAGTCGATCGCCGGCGGCCAGCGCCGCAGTTGGCGTTTCTCGAGACTCCCTTACCCAGAAGTCACAAACCAAATTAGCGACAGTAAACATGAATACACGGACCGAAAGTATTTCTCCGGGAAGCCCTGCTTTCAGAGCCTCCACGGCTGGGCCGAAGCCAGCATCGGAAACATCAGCAGTTCCAAAGGCAGCACTAACAAGCTCGCCAAAATACGCAGCACCGGGAAAAGTATGCCAGACAAAGATACCAGAAGGTACAGCAGCACCAGTGAATCCTGTAACTGCCGCAGCATTGGACGCTACAAAAATATTAATGCCAAGAGTTCCGGCGGCAGCTAGGCCACAAACATCTCTAGCAGCTCCGCGGTCCACAAATTTCACGAAAAATCTCCATTCTCGTAGCACTGTGAGGGCCTCTGAGACCAGAATACAGAGCTCTTCTAGTAAGAGCCCTGGGCCTGTCTCGTCTCCTCCTCCACAGCAGAGAAGAGCAACAGTAGACGGGCATAGACCTCCAACGGCCCCCCAGAAGCAAAAGCTTCCTACTGCTGCACCCCGACCCAAGAGCAATATCACGGAGGAAAGTGCAGCCGCGAAGGAAACCTCAGCTGTGGCAGCATCAGTAAATTCGTCATCAGCCGCAATAGAAACCGCCCTCAAGTCGGCACTGCCCACTTCCGTTGCCTCCAGGGCAATTGGCTTGTCAACCATAGAGGCCTCCCAGGAAGCTGCGAACCTTGCCGACGTTCCTGCTGCCAGAGACACCCTAAACCGGGAACAAGCAACGGCAATAGGGAGTGCCAAACAAATCCTTACTACTGCTGCTGTTGGCGGAGGCCCCTCAAAGCCTCCACTGGCAACAACACCAGTAGCTTCACGTCCTAGTACGGCTGCGGGGGCAGCAGCGAACTCCACGGTGTCTTCCGGCAGTAAAGGAGTGTCTCACAATATCCCCAGGGGGCAAACAACTCGTGCCGAGAAGCCCGAGATATCAGGGGATCATACGCAACCAAACGGCGGCGCAACCTCCGGACGCCATCCCACTGGAGCTGGGCCGCTGGGAGCCCGATTAGTTTCGCGTCTGTCAGGTATATTCAAGAGGTCGGGCAGCAAAAACATGAAATCCAAATAAGAGGTCTCTCCGATATTAAAGTAAATCAATAGCTGTAGC